TCCTCCAGAAGAGATAAAATGGGTGGGTGGGCTGGATGCCTTTAGGATGACAAAGTGGGGGGGCAGCACCCCCAAAAACCTCATCATTTTCTACCCATAGTTAAGAAAATAGAGGCCCAAATTTCATTCATAAAGTCATCAATCCTTTTATATGTGCACTCTCAAGCTTCCTCGCTGTATTCAAGATGGACAGTGATTCACACTGATATGTATTTATATGTAAGGCTGTAGGTATAGACAGACATATGTATGTTTTTCAAAATTTGGATTGCTAACAAAGAATTAAGGGAGAACTGGAATAGCCATTTTGAACTTTTTAGTTCTTTTCAACCAGACATACCCTTCTGAGATTCGAACCTGGGCTGTCTGCGTGTTATGTAGGGGTAGGCTTTTTGAGAGCGGGTGACAGAATTTCATTTTTAAGGTGGGCCAGTGTGCCCACTGTAAAAAAAATGACAATAAAAGTTAGGAGATCTATATATTCATTTTAATTTTAATCCTTTTCAAATCACCATCTAATCGGCCTTTTATATTTTCAGCCCCTTTTGGTTCTTCTCGAGAGACAGAAGCGGCGAATGCTCCAACACTGGAAGTTTTTAAGAAGAGACTGGACAGCCATTTGTCCGAAATGGTATAGGGCAGGGGTAGGCAACCTTGGCTCTTTTATGACTGGTTGACTTCAATACCCAGAATACCTGAACCAGCCATACTGACTCAGGAATTCTGGGAGTTGAAGTCCACAAGTCATAAAAGAGCCAAGGTTGCCTATCCCTGGTCTAGGGTTTCCTGCCTGAGCAGGGGGTTGGACTAGATGACCTCCAAGGTCCCTTCCAACTTTATTATTATTATTATTATTATTATTATTATTATTATTATTATTACATACAGGAATGCCTTTTCCCTCCACAGTACAGACTTAAAACAGTTTATTTCATGACTGTTCAAAGTTACAAAGGCATTGAAAAAAATGTGATTTAAGACCGTTTTTCACACTTAACGACCATTGCAGCATCCCCCCACATGGTCATGTGATCAAAATTCAGACACTTGGCAACTGGCTCATATTTACGACGGTCGCAGAGTCTCCGGGGTGTCATGTGATCCCCTTTTGCGACCTGACAAGCAAAGTCAATGGGGGAAGCCGGATTCCCTTAACCACTGTGTTGCTAATTTAACAACTGCAGTGATTCACTTAACAAATGTGGCAAGCAAAGTCGTAAAATGAGGCAAAACTCGCTTAACAAATGTCTCACTTAGCAACAGAAGTTCAATTGTGGTCGTACGTAGAGGACTACCTGTAGAAAGTGGCTCTGGATGATTGGGCTTCACGAATCCGTAAAAAGCTCAATTATTTGAATTCACGCCATTCAAAGGGATCTTCTCCTACGGAAAATAGCGGTTTCAGACTTGAGGGAAGTAGGCAAGGAAAAGTTTGAAAGGTAAATCTTACATTTATGTTTACCAGTGAAATATAAGAGTGAACAGTTTTTAAAAAAATAGCGACGAGTTTACTTTTAACTAAGAGAGGAGTTTTATGAAGCAAAACAAATATATCTTCTCTGTCAGTCTTAATAATAATAATAATAATAATAATAATAATAATTAAAAAAAAAAGTTGGAAGGGACCTTGGAGGTCATCGAGTCCAACCCCCTGCTCAGGCAGGAAACCCTACACCATTTTGGACAAATGGCTGTCCAGTCTCTTCTTAAAAACTTCCAGTGTTGGAGCATTCACTGCTTCTGGAGGTAGGTTGTTCCACTGGTTAATCGTTCTCACTGTCAGGAAGTTTCTCCTTAGTTCTAGGTTGCTTCTCTCCTTGATTAGTTTCCATCTGTTGCTTCAGGTGCTTTGGAGAATAGCTTGACTCCCTCTTCTTTGGGGCAGCCCCTGAGATATTGGATCACTGCTATCATGTCCCCCCTCGTCCTTCTCTTCATTAAACTAGACAGACCCAATTCCAGCAACCGTTCCTTATATGTTTTAGCCTCCAGTCCCCTGATCATCTTTGTTGCTCTTCTCTGTACTCCTTCTAGAGTCTCAACATCCTTTTTACATCGTGGGGACCAAAACTGGGTGCAGTACTCCAAGTGTGGCCTTACCAAGGCCTTGTAAACTGGTATTAACCCTTCACATGATCTTGATTCTGTCCCTCTGTTAATGCAGCCCAGCACTGTGTTGGCTTTTTTGGCAGCTGCAGCACACGGCTGGCTCCTATTTAAGTGATTGTCCACTTCTTAGATTGATGTTTCTCAGTCTTGACCATTTGCAGCTGTGTGGACGACAACTCCCAGAATTCCCCAGCCAGCCATGCTCTTTCTTTGTAAACTAGTAGCTTGCCTTGTCAGTATTGGTGGAAGTGCAAGCAAACGTCCTTTCTTCGCAGCATTGAAGATGCTACCTAGTTGGGTCACGAAACGTCTGCAAAAACCCACCAAGTTCAGAGAGCACCAAGGGTCCCATGTTTATTAGATTTTTTAACAAACAATATCAGTTAACTACATTAACATAAATCCAATATACATATAGAGGAAAAAATATAGAAAACATAATGCTGCTAAAAATCTTAGATTGTAGAATCAGTGTGCAATTTAATGTTGTTTGCAATTGCAGTCCCTGCCATTCATTTGTAATTTTTCTTTCTTCTTTGATTGCTATTCTGTTCAGTTCCATTCCATTCCATATTTTCTATTCTATTCCATTCCATATTTTTTATTCTATTCTATTCCATTTCATTCCATTCCATATTTTCTATTCTATTCCATTCCGTATTTTCTTTTCTATTCTATTCTATTCTATTCCTATTCCTTGTTCTCTATTCCATTCCTATCCTATCCTATCTTCCTATCCTATCCTATTTTGTTCTCTACTAGCTGTACGCGTTGCTGTGGCTCAGTCTGGTTAAATGGAAAAGAAAGAAAAGAGAAAGCGCACATTTGTAATATGTTTAATTTCACAATGCTTGTGGGTATACAATATTTTTGCAATCGGAAACATTGAAATGGAATCGTAAAATTGGAAATTTGGAAATCGTAAATGGATCGTAAATCGGAAACATTGAAATGGAATCGTAAAATCATAGCGTTGTTGCTTTTAACGTCCAACAGATGGCGCTGTTTTTCAAAAAAAGCATGTTTTACCTGTCACAGGTGTGACATCTATATAATAGTAGGTATATAAAAACACACGCGTGTTCGAATGCAACGTTGTGTCAAAATTTCAAAGCAATCAGTGAAGAACTTTCGGAGATTTAAGATTTTGAACAAACGAACATTTACATTTTTATTGATATAGATTCCATTTTCTATTCTATTTTCTATTCTATATTCTATTCTATGCTATTTTAGATTGTAGAATCAGTGTACAATTTAATGTTGTTTGCAATTGCAGTCCCAGCCATTCATTTGTAATTTTTCTTCCTTCCTTGATTGGTAGGTATTTCCCAGCCAAGATCCACTGGACAGGGCTGATTTCAACGCAGTGGAATACATCAATACTCTTTTTCCAACTGAGCAAGTGAGTTGAATCTATGCCACTGTACGATGCCATGTGATTTTGATTTATTTTCATATTCTTTGTCACTGCAATTTCGAGGCCACAAATGGGACCCATCAGAAAATGCAAGCAGCCCTGCAATGCTGCATTCTAACCATCAGGGCTGCCAAAGGCACAATATTGGAACTATCACTTCATGTAGAAGGCCAGGCAAAGGCTGGGGGCGGAGTCAAGAGAGGAATCAGCCTGGAATCGTTACGTTCCCACAAATGGTTTAAATTCAACCCCTCTTCAATTCCTTTGACTCTTATGTAGCACCAAGTTTGTGCTGACTGCTAACTTGATTCTTGTCTATAAGCAGCCCTTGACCTATTTCCTAGTTTAGAGTTGGAAGGGACCTTGGAGGTCTTCTAGTCCAACCCCCTGCTCAGGCAGAAAACCCTATACCATTTCAGACAAATGGTTGTCCAATCTTTTCTTAAAAACTTCCAGTGTTGGAGCATTCACAACTTCTGGAGGCAAGTTGTTCCACTGATGAATTGTTCTAACTGTCAGGAAGTTTCTCCTTAGTTCTAGGTTGCTTCTCTACATTATTAGTTTCCATCATTTGATTCTTCTCCTGCCTTCAGGTGCTTTGGAGAATAGCTTGACTCCCTCTTCTTTGGGGCAGCCCCTGAGATACTGGAAGATTGCTATCATGTCCCCCCTCGTCCTTCTCTTCATTAAACTAGACATACCCAGTTCCAGCAACCGTTCCTCATAGACCTTTAATCAACTTTGCTGCTCTTTCCATTCATTTATTCGAACAGTATTAGCAATAACACTTATCGTTATGTACCGCTTCACTGCGCTTTTACAGCCCTCTCTGAGCAGTTTACAGAGTCAACATTTTGTCCCCAACAATCTGGGTCCTCATTTTACCGACTTCAGAAGGAGGGAAGGCTGAGCCCCCCATCAGGATCGAACTCCTGGCTGTGGGCAGAGTCAGCCTACAGGGCTCAGGGTTTGAACCTCTAACAATGGTTCAAAGTTACGACAGCCTCGGAAAAAGTGACATACAACCTATGCTCGCACTTAACAACTGTCACACCACCCCTTCAGTCATGTCATTGCAATTCGGGTGCTTCGTGCATGGCGTGTTATTTTAAGGTTTTGATTTTAATGCGTGGCATTGACGGCTATACCGCCATAGGGCGGGAATAACGTCAGGTAGAAGAAGATGGTGACAGAGCAGGGGGTTGGACTAGATGACCTCCAAGGTCCCTTCCAACTACTACTACTTCTTCTTCTTCTTCTTCTTCTTCTTATTATTATTATTATTATTATTATTATTATTATTATTATTATTATTATTATTATTATTTAGTTTTGAACCCAAGAATGGTTTGGGGGAAAGGCAAGCTGTTCAATTTGGTTAATTGGAGCTGCTCCTCAGCCTTGTAAAATGGATTAATAAATATTTTGGGGGAATGTGTTTGATGAATGCAGATTGGGGATCTGATTCCCTTGATGGTGCATAATGAAAAGATTAAGTCCTGCCCCCCCCTCCTGTTTTTCTCTTGCAGTCTTTGGCCAATATCGATGACGTAGTGAACAAAATCAGGTTGAAAATAAGGTAAGTGAGGATGGGGATGTTATTATTATTTTTTTCCCCGTTTCACGGGAGGGGTGGCAACAGTGTCAAATTTCCTTCAAGTGAAACATCTGTACCAGGGTTTCTCAACCTTGGCAACGTGCAGATGTGTGGACTTCAGTTCCCAGCCCTGCCTAGCCAGCTGTTTGCTTGGGCAATTCTGGGACTTGAATTCCAGTCACCCTAAAGCAGGGGTAGGCAACCTTGGCTCTTTTATGACTCGTGGACTTCAACTCCCAGAATTCCTGAGCCAGCCGCGCTGAGGGGAAAGAAAGAGGTTTCCATGCTGAGTCATGCTGGCTCAGGAATTCTGGGAGTTGAAGTCCACGAGTCATAAAAGAGCCAAGGTTGCCTACCCCTACCCTAAAGTATGTTAGCTGGGGAATTCTGGGTGTTGAAGTCCATCCATCTTTAGGCAGGCTGACTAAGGAATTCTGGGAGTTGGAGTTCACCTAACTTAAAATGCTGGCTAGGGAATTCTGGGAGTTGAAGACCACCCATCTTAAAGCATGCTGGCTGGGGAACTCTGGGAGTGGAAGTCCACTCATATTAAAGGATATTGGCTGGGGAATTCTGGGAATGGAAGTCCACCCATCTTAAAGCATGCTGGCTGGGGAATTCTGGGAGTTGAAGTCCGTCCATCTTAAAGCATGCTGGCTGGGGAATTATATG